ATGAGCTGCCAACACTCACACGCATAATGTACCTACATTTGATTGATTGTGCTAACTTATAACTGAACTCCAGTAAGCGGCCCAGCCCTTCGTATATTTTTCTGTATGTGGCCCTCGGTGAAAAACGTTTGGACACCCCTGCTCTAGAACCAAGTTGTCAAATCAGGTATGGGAAAGAGAGAATGACCTGTGGACTAATCTGTAGTGGAAGAGAAAGGAAGAAGTAAAGTTGATACAGTGTTGTGTTTGCCAGAGGCCTAAAGAAGAGGAGGACAAGACGAGGCCGGAGGAGAAGACACGTCTGTCTCTGCTGGAGGACAAACTCACTGATGCTCTCACACTGCTGCTGCAGCTACGCAACAAGGTTCACACACACACACACACACACACACACACACACACACACACACACACACACACACACACACACACACACACACACACACACACACACACACCACACACACACACACACACACACACACACACACACACACACACACACACTTTCTCTCTCTACTGCCATCTAGTGTTTATTCCATCCTAATGGACGTGCATAGAGCTTTCAATATTAACTGTATATGTCTAGAATATATTTTACGCAGCAATAGTTAACATATATATATTTTTTAAGAGAAGTGTATTTAAGCTTAGTGGATATGGTGAAATGCTTTAGATGCCAGGCATTTCTATTTCCAAATTTGAATTCAATTGTTCCTTTTTATGTCCTCAAGTGTTACAAAATGTGTGAAATTGTTTTATTGAATATCATTTTTATTTGAGTTTGGAAAAGATTTTATTTCATAATTTCATAATGATGATTAACTTTATCTCAATACAGAGGTCCTATGACATGAAATAGAAAGGGATATCATAACATATGACATTATATAACATAATACAAGGTGGAGTGAAATCAAAGTGTGATTGGGCACCATGCCATTATGAAATAAAAACAGATCTATAAAACACAGAAAACCGTTTATTCAATATTGAACATTTAGGGGGAAAGTACTGTATGGTTCCCCACTCTAACTGTGGTATTACACCGGACCATAATATGTTGATATGAAGCTGTTTTTACTGTATGTTTGTTTCTTTGAATAAATCTAAAAAGACAATCTCTCACTGTACCTGCAGAACGTGTCCCGCAGGACCCTGGGGAAGATAGTGATGGATACTCTGGATGTGTGCAGGACTGGTGATGGTAGGTGTGTTTTAAATACTCCAGCTTTATTCCAACCTACAATAAGTATTCGGAAACGACAAAAAACAAATTAGTTTTAATTTCAGAGGATGAGCATCATAGGAGGAAATAACACGTTAAACATCAGTTTGCACGTACTACTTTAAAGCAGATGTGTGTCTCTTGGCGTAAAGAAGTGGAATTATTTGCCGAATGATTTAAAGGGCTGTAAGAAATGTTGTATGTTCAAGAAAATGTATAAAGAAAGCGTATTTAGACAGTTGACTTTTGATTGTGTTCTGGTTTTATGTTTCAGTAATTATAAGGAACTGTGACTGAAAGAATATTGCTTTTATTTGACTATTTATGGTTATTTCAATTTGGGGCAGGTCAAATAAGATCTTCTCCCTGCTCCTTTCCACCATGCGCTATAAAAACAACAACTGAAAAACAACCAGTATAAGTCTACATATTTTGTTTTAAAATAACCATGTGTGTGGAATAAATAAATTCATTTGTTCGTTGTTGAAATTGTAATTGGTACATTTTCCCCGTCCAGGTCCCTGTCAGGTTCTGCAGGTCGCCGACGCTCTCTGTCTCCGGCTGTCCTCCAGGGATCTGCTGGGAATCGGAGGGGATGATGAAGGAGGAGAGGGAGAGAAAGGCCTGGTTTCATCTTCAGGGTGTCAAACCAGCAGCGGAAACCCTCTGCTCATCTCCTGTTAGATCAAGCTCTGATATTCAACTTTAAAGGTCACCTATTATACTGTTTTTCATCAATATATTTTGGGCCTCAGATATGTCTCTGAAGTGTTTGGCTCCAAACACCAAACAGATCATTGCAGCATTACCCATAATCCCCTCTGTTTCAGCCCTGTTTCAAAAGTGCTGATTCTCTGTCTGTTACTTTAGATGAAAATAAGGAGCCCCTCCCCACGCCCCTCTGAGAGAGATTTGGTTAAAAATAACTCAATGGTGCTCTAGTACCTCATTCACACCAACGCAACTCCGGTTCAAGCTCCGTGCTAGAGCTTTTCAGGTTCAGAACCGGTTCTTCGGTTTAGCTCCGGCTCTTTTCACACCGCCCAGAGTCCGACTGGTGCTGCGTCATTGCGTCATAGTTTGCGTCATGACGTAACCGTTTGGGTGCCTGCTTCATAAAGCCAAACCGCGCGGAAACCCCTCACAGCTGACACCGACAACAACAACAATGGCCGATTGTGCTCCAGCTTCCTCTGTACCTCTTCAGTGGACCACTGCTGCTTGTTAAGTTTCTCCATCGTTGTGTACAAGCTGGATAAAACGCGGGCTTTTTGTTGTTGTTCAGGAGTTGATCTGTCTCTGCCCCTGCCCCCGACGTATGTGGTGCTTTTGCTCTGGCCGGACAATTTTTTGGTGCTTGAAACGAACCGGATTCCGGAGCTAAGAGGCTGCTCCGCTGCGGTGTGAACAGGAATACCCGGTGCTTTTCAAGCTCCAGCTCCGAACCGGCCCTGAAACACCGTTGGTGTGAATGAGGATTGGCTAATGGTTACACAAGACAAAACATCGTTGTGACATCATAAAGTGGCCAAAATCTGATCAGCTAATTTTCAGACAGGTTTTTATAGAAATGGATCAGGACAAAAAGAGAGAGAATCTTTGTTCTTGAAACTTTCAGAGTCTCTTTCCACAGAGGGAACACATGTTGATGTAGAAGAGACATGAAGAAGAGGATTTTGCATAATAGGAGACCTTTAAAAAAATTATTGTAAATATGACTCCGGTACTATTAAGTAAACTAAAGTCAGCATACTGGTGCTAGCACTCCTGCTCCGGTATCATGTTGATATAATGCTGTAAAATACATTACAATTATATTTATATAACGTTTTTATCGGTACATTTTATTTGGACCATTTATTCCATGAATGTCTGGCACAGAAACATTAGTCCGAATATGATTTTGGATTTAGCTACCTAATGTAAGCTAATGTTAGCTTGCTTGCTAACGTAGACAGATAGCTAGCTAGTTAATTCTACAAAATAGTATCCAGTTCGCTAATTCATCCAGACTCGAGTCCAGGGGCTGAACCGTCTGCTATATTGGCAAGCATGCTGTTTGTAAATTGCTTCATTAACTAATGTTACAAAGCAACCAACGCCAGATATATCTGCATAGCTAAATTACAGCTAGCTTACCGTTGAACCAACACAGTCTCACGGCATTTCGTGTTATAGTCACGAAATTAATCTATTGATTCGTGTTCACCAACACGATTTTTTTTCGTGTCACACCGATTTTAAAAGCAATGTAAATAATAACAAATTAGAAGGAAAAACAGATTTTAAAAATACAGATTTCAGTATTCTGACACAGAACGATTTTAGAAGCAATGTATTTATATTGGTAGTATGTTTCGTGCCTGCACCAAATAATAACAAACTAGAAGGAAAAAAAGATGACAAAAAATACAGATTTCAGTATTCTGAGGCTCTGAGCCACATTTATTTTCCTCGCGGACGGCAACAAAAACTCTGACATTATACACTTTAAAATAAAAGGGTTAGGGTTAGGGTAAGATATTGAGTAAGAACATGTTTTTATGAACCACACAGCTTCCGGTCTTCCAAGACCCGACCGGACAAAAAGACGTGGTGCAGGCACGAAACATACGACCAATAGAAATACATTGCTTTTAAAATCGTTCTGTGTGACACGAACAAAATGCGAAAATCGTATTGGTGAACATGAATCAATAGATTAAATTAATTTCGTGACTATAACACGAAATGCCGTGAGACTGGGTTTGTTGAACACTGTTAGCATGGAGTTAGCATTACACATCATTATTTTGCTAACTCAGAACAACAGGCTGTGGCTAATAATAAATACAGGAACGTTCTGCACTAAGTTAGATTACAATCCAATAATACATTGGCAATAAAAAAGCTATTAACTCAAGAGTAAAAAGTGACTTGCAAAACCTTTAAATGATTAACTACTGTAGTACTAATCCTTCCTCTCTCATATATTTGGCTTGTTTGCACACATGTCAGTTTGCGTTTTTTAACCACATATTACTGGTTAAATGTATTTAAAGATTAATTGTATTTTTATCTCTTTGTATAATAATTTGTATCTATTTAATTTCAATTATTAAATGTGTTATCCAAAGCATTTGTTTGCAGTGTAAGAGTTTTTCATTTTGTGTTAAACATTGTTGGTGAAAGTTAATGTTACATTTCATTGCATTGCATTACAATGAAACAGTATCTGGTATTTTACTGTTGGCTCGGGACATATTCATATTCGCGAGTCATTATTTAACACTAACCTCTGGTGAATAAGGGGATTTTTTTTAGGATTAATGCCAGAGTAGCAAAATAATAGGTTTTTGCAGTCTTTCATTTTTTCGCAGGTTTTCAGTAAATGTAAAAAATAAAAACAGATCATCCAGATAGCCCTCGGATGATGTTAAATATGTTACACATTTCTTATTACATTGCATCAGTGGCAGGGCAGCTTTCTCCGGAAGTTTTTCCTTGTACGATGTGAGGGTCTAAGGACAGAGGGTGTCGTTTTTCTCATACTGATATTCTGAACAATCTGTGCTGTTGTATTTGCTGTAAAGTGTCTTTACTGTAGGCTATTTTTTATTATATGTACAGCACTTTGGCTCGACAAAAAATCGTTTAAAAATGTGCTATATAAATAAAACTTGATTTGATAAGAGACAGTTCAACAAAATGTGGCTCAGATCATTAGCTTAGCATGAGGATCATCCCTTCTTCTGAACAAGTGTACTGACAAAAACAGACAATAAGACGTAGGAATGGTATGAAATAATATAGTCCTTTATTTCCAGCAATTTACAAATTCCTGCAGGGAGAGAGAGCCTTCCTCCAGCCTCAGAGAAAGAGAGAGGGCTTTAACAAGAACAACATACAGAAATTGCAAAGACCTCAGCCCCATGAGACTGTTTTTCTCAAAGCTAAAGTCTGAATCAAAGGCTCCATCGTGATGTGGATGTTTGCTCCCAGGGGCTCGGTGGTTTGAAGCACTAAGGTGAACAAGGCAGTAGGGTTTTTAAGGCTGAATATGGGGGGAACCATCTGGAATCATAAGGAGAAATTATGTGTGCCTTTTTTCTTGTTGCACGTCAGGTTTTTCTGCCTAGTTTGTGGATTAAAATCTTCCCCTTTTCTAATTTTTTTGTGAACAAAAGCTGCAAACAGCCCTCCTCTCCTCTGCTGTGTCATCATTATTACATTACATCATAATCAACTCACTGTACATCTTATATTAATCAAAGCTAATTAAGGAGACGCTACTCTGTGGCGAACCTAGCTCCTGATTGGTTACTCTGAGTTGAGCTCGGCTCTGATAGGTTAAGGTCATTCTATATAAGTATGCTTTCCCGGGGTGTGGGTGGGTGTGTGTGTGATGTGTGTGTGTGTGTGTGTGTGTGTGTGTGTGTGTGTGTGTGTGTGTGTGTGTGTGTGTGTGTGTGTGTGTGTGTGTGTGTGTGTGTGTGTGTGTGTGTGTGTGTGTGTGTGTGTGTGTGTGTGTGTGTGTGTGTGTGTGTGTGTGTGTGTGTGTGTGTGTGTGTGTGTGTGTGTGTGTGGTGTGTGTGGAGTATGTGTTTGAAAAGACTGGTATTAGGCACTGTGCTATTCATTAGCCTCGCCGCCTTTTCTACTGCGGCGAGCATCAAGAAGCTCTACTGGCCTTTTGCAAAATAAAAATAAAGAGAAAAGTGACATCAACATTAAGAAACGGAGCCCAAATGAAATGACAAAATAAACAACCTTATATATAGAATAAATATAATATGTACAATTTGCTTTGTGTGCATCTAAAAATAAATAGACAAAGCATTACTTGCCCTCTTATAGAAGTATTCACAACTTTCCATTGACGCAGAGGCAGAACGCTGGTCAGTGAGAGAGTGGAGGATACAGACTGACAGTGAACAGATGGAGGATGCAACTTTTACAATAAGTCAAAAGAAACATCACTCCTTGTGGACAAGTGTGAATCCAGAGGACACAGAGACACATTGAAAAGTTATAAGAGAATCCCTGCGCTGCCCTCTGGTGTCCGCTCTGCAGATTACAGTACTTTGTGCCTTTGACCAGACGTCGCTTCATCTTTACAGTGGTTGTTTTTTGCTCGATAAGATTTATGACACAAAACAATAATCACAAAGAGTTAAAGAGATTAGGGAAAGGAGGAAAGGAATAGAACATTCAAAAATAATTGACACATAAAAAAAAAATCAGTCAGATCAAAATAAAAGATTTTTAAAAGATAAAATAAGTTTTGCACATTCACATTATGTGCCCTTTCTGCTGGCCCCTGGGAAACAGCACAGAAGTCTTACAATCGGTGGATAAAGTCAAGAATCACATGCAGGTTTCTCGTAAGACTTTGCCTCAAAATGGCTCACAACTTCCTGTTTCATTCTCCTCGTCACCTGTGAGCCCTCAAAGAAAGAGTCAGCTCAGGGCAGCTGAGACTCACAGTCTGTGTGTGTTCAAGGGTTGGGGCACTGAGGTTAATCTGATTTCCCCCTTAGATTAAACATGATTTAGTCAGTCATTCAGTCACTAAAGGTCAGGCTCCTGACCAAAGAGATTATTATTAGTTATCTCAATGATATGTGTGTAAAGAGATTATACTCTAACCTTATTAATAGAAAAAGAGGAAAGTGGACATTTGCTGTGGTCAATTCGTTAGCTGAGACTCAGAATTGGTTTGGGTCCACGTTGAGCTAAAGGTTCCTATCGTTTTTCATGAACAAAAATAAATGAAATCTACCCCTGTGACTAGTCACACCGCAAGCTAGCACAGCATAATACGTGTGTGTCCTTGACAGAGGGGGAAAGTAGCAAGCCGCAAAAGTAGCAAGCCGCAAACAAGCTAACGCTAATCAATCAAGATAGCTATTTTCTCTATACCAGGCATTTTGTTCTCGAGATTGGAAAACATTTATTTTTACAAACAGTTACTACAATGGGGATAAAAGATCTCAAAGCTAACTAGACTTGCTAACTGAGAGCAAGCCCTATTAGCTTAGATAACTTCTGGTCAACAGAGGAGAGATAGCTAGCTAGTTAGCTAGATCGAATAGCTAGCTAGCTAGATAAGATCTCTATCTCTTCTCTTAATGATCAGGACAGTCCAGAAATGTTGCTATTGGTCAATTTCACCTAAGTTTAACTCAATATGTATGTCAAGTAGTGAGAGAATCCACTACTCGCTGTGATTTCATTTAATTACTTTTAATTTAAACATGCTGGTGTGACCGGGCCTTTATCAGCGCTGGTTTGACTGGAACGTGGGACAGCTCAAAGAACTACACTGATCTTAAAGCTACAGCTAAAACCTATACAAAATACCAAACTAAAGAAAGATTGGTCTGTCTTTCATTGGAAAGATGCAGTGTGCCAATTTGGATTCCCAAAAGGCATTTGAAATAGTTTGTTAAAATTAAAGATATCAAACATTCACATACAAAATCTGAACTTTTCATCCGGTATGAGAGACTGCTGAACCTGAGTTAGCACATCCTGGCTAAGGCACTTCAGCACACTCTGTACTATGTGTGAATACAGCAACGTACAGCTCTGCAGGTTGTTTCCAGTGCGTTGCAGCATGTTGTCATTACAATAGGCCGAGCGTGAGCAACATCAACAACTAGCTTGTTTTAGTAGAGAGTTAGATAATAAGTTTAGGATGGGGAACTGATGCTATCCTGTTGTGGAAAATTAAAACCTCTCTGACCTCTTGGCATCCACAAAAGGCCAACAACTTTACTGTACCGACAACTTTAGGTATACCGACAAATCCCTTACTGACACTTGTCTGGCCATTTTCTACGTTCTGTTTTCCACTGTTTCTGTGTGTTTGCTCAAACAAAGAAGAAGTGTACTCTGGGCAGTTTTAAGTACATTTGGCCAAAAAGGGAAGCACCTCTATGGACCTAATTTAACCGAAACTTTGAAATTGATGAAGTGTTTCATAACTGCTAACAGGTAAATCATTTTGTGTTCTAGCAGTTGTTGTTATGCGAATGACGTCTCAAATTAGATTTGATTCAAATTAGATTTGATTCAAATTAGATTTGATTCTAATTAGTTTATCAGCCGATAGGAAGGACGCCATAGGGATCTAGTCTGTTAAGTTTGTGGTCCATTACCCTGCTATAAAAAAAAACCAATCCTCTTTGCTACTGTCACGAGGCCAGGGTAAAAGAGAGCCTATGGGACTTGACTAAATCAGAAATTAGACACATATTAAATTAATAAAATACATATGACAAAGCACTTGGTGATTAAGCATTCAAGGCTTGTTTGGACATATATTTTTTGCTGTCTTGGTTTTAAAACTTGATCTTTAAAAACAGGAGGGGCTAACGTCCCCATTGAAAATAATGAGGACTGGCCCTGCACATGTCGATTCATAGCAATCGATAACAATCATTGTCAACGGTAAAATAAGAACCTAAAAGTAGTAAGACTCAGTTATTAAGATTTAGGAGGAGTAGTGTAGTTTATAGAGTTGTGTTGAATGGTTGAGGTGGAGACGTGTGTTTCTGAAGTGAAACACAGATTCTGTCTGCTGTGCTGCAGATATCCTGAAGGTTAAACACTACTGCCCTACGAGCGCTACCCCATCAATCGAAGAAAAGCCCTTTCAGAGTCGAAAATGTCCACTTCCACACAGACTGGTAGCGTTCAGCGCTGTCCGAGCGTGGCGCGTAGCGAGGATCCGGATTTTCTTTTTTGAGCTTGTGTCCGTGCATGCATTCAGTTCCCCAAGCTCGAGTCTTTATCCCCTATAAACCATCGCATGTGAAAACAGAGCGCGAGGAAGCCGGTCCCCAGCAGATCCCCCAGGGCCGTCAGGTAGGGGATGGAGAAGTTGTCTGGGTCCATGCCTCGGCCCCACATCCAGTGAACCATCCAGTCTGCCAGGTAGAGGAGGATCAACACCTGGAAGAAGATGAGGAATAAAGATTTGTATTAAGAAATATACACCCTAAGAATTCATGAAAATGTATTAATTTCCATTATTACACGACTTAGTGGAATACTTGATTATGATTTGGACATTTAAGAGCTTTGCTATTTTTCGGTAACAGACCGCTGCTAAGGAGAACAGACCGTTGCTAAGGAGAACAGACCGTTACTAAGGAGAATAGACCGTTGCTAAGGAGAACAGACCGTTACTAAGGAGAATCAAGGGACTATGTACAGTCATATTAATCCGCAGACAGAAGTCCGGTCAATTTAACAAAAAATGTTGTTTGCTTCGTGAGAAAACACCCAGGAATACATTTGAATATTTATTTTTTATATTTTTGTGGAGAACACTTTGGATATTTGATGGCTAAATTGTCTCCAGTAAAGAGAAAGAGTGACGAGAAGGAAAGCTTCGGTATCCGGCTCACCCTGTTGGTGTTCTTTTATCATTAATGACCGACTCGCTGTACATTATCCTTTACTTAAAACATGCTGCATTTTGTTAGATCTCAACTCATACATTTGAAGTATGCGTTCCAACAAACCGGCTGAACCAGCATTTTCATTGTTATAGGTTCTTGCCAAATAGTTTGTTTAATATCAAACCGGTTTGAACATTTTTACACAGGCACTTTAGATGAGAAAATACTTTATTATTAAGTTAAACTTTAAGCAAAATGTAAAAAATAACATTGTACGTCTGTTCCTTTTACTCTTCCATAACATAAGAATTAGCGTTTTCCCATTATTCCCCTCTTCTCAGCAGCAGCTAAAAAGTGAAGTGTGTGTGTGTGTGTGTGTGTGTGTGTGTGTGTGTGTGTGTGTGTGTGTGTGTGTGTGTGTGTGTGTGTGTGTGTGTGTGTGTGTTTACCTGTAGTAGTGCAGCAACCATGTAGAACGAAACGAAGACAGCTGTCAGCATGGTGTGCCCCCCCCTCAGGGAGTTGATGGTGTAGAGGAAGGCGAGGTGACCCGGGGCGACCAAGAGGAAAAGGACCCGGGCGGAGCGAGAGTTCACAGCTGGAAAATAAAAAAAGAGTCACATACTGATGAGGTGTAACTTGTTTTATCCTGCATTAAAAATACTAAAGGTGTGCCCTACAGGGACGGATACTGGAACTAAACCTCCAAATACATCAGGGGGGTGGGGGGCAGTTGGAAATCATGGAAAGATGTGTTTTAATGAGATAAATCAAGGTGGGAAACAGATAAATGTTCCACAGCCACCCGTTGACTTACAGGAGCCGAAGAAGGTGGCGCAGGGTGTGGGGCACTTCCTGGGGGTGGCGTTGGGATCACCCATCGGGAGACCGTTCATGTGCAGATAGGTGGAGATCCGACTGGCCTGAACTGCCACCAGGTTACCTCCCACACCTGACACACAAGGCAAGGCAAGCCAAGTTTATTTATATAGCACTTTTCAACACAAGGCAATTCAAAGTGCTTTGCAAAAAACAAAAGACATTAAGAGCATAAAACACATTAGAAACATTAAAAAGCAACGATAATAAAACATGAATAACACAGGCACATGAATAAAAGTTACAGTGCAGTGTGAGATGTGAATAGTTCAATTAAAAGCAGCGGCAACAAGAAAGTCTTCAGCCTGGATTTAAAAGTAGTCAGAGGTTTCTGGGAGCTTGTTCCAGATATTTGACAATACCCCTAATCAAATTCTCACATTTCTCTAGTCTTCCCGTGAAATTATAGTTCTTTTGACACTTTACTAACCTTTTGATATTCCTTTCATCCTTCTCTTTCAATCATTGTGCATCCCCAGACAACACATTTCCCCCTGTTTTACTGTTTACTGTTACCTTTAAAACCACTTTTATTTTCAATTCCCAGAATTAGGATATATATAAACTAGTGCTGTCAAAATTATCGCGTTAACGGCGGTAATTAATTTTTTGAATTAATTGCGTTAAAATATTTAACGCATTTAACGCATGTGCAGAATGGCCCGCCCCATACGTGCCACCAGTGGCAGCGCCAGGGTATGGCTGGGGTAGGCTACACCAGAAATGGCTTAGCCCCACCATGAAAAATGATGTTAAAGTAAGCAAAATAAAGTCTGCCAACTCGCGCGTAGTAAATTGCACAGACAGCAGTTAGTAAGATTGATTTCAGTAGCCACGGTTTTGAAAACTTTTGTCACATAGTGATCGTCGTCTCAATAGAACATCTTTGATAACGGCGTGGTGTTGTTGCAGGAAGTCCCGACGGAGAATACTTTTGCTGTAGTACAGGGGTGCACATAACTGGTACGCAGGTTATGTGCGTAATCTCTCTGAAATGCTTACCGTCACTTGTGTCACAAAGCGCATTTGCGTACCGACGTACTTGTGAAGCTTTTCCAGAAGGCGGTTAGATCACCGGACGACAGAGTCGGTGTCCGTGTGCACAGACAGGGCTGCTGTTAACGTCGGTCTGTACAACGGAATTGTGCCAAAACTACGCCAACCGGCTGCGGAGGGAGACTCCCCCCCTTCACTGGAGAACTGCGCTAAAACAGCTGATCACAACGTTCACACTCTGTGGTCACGAAGTACTCCACTAGACGCCCCCCCCCTCTGTCGACTTTCCTGAAGTACTCCCCCGTTGATAGAAATCAACACGTAATGAATTAAGACCCCACGGTTTGATGATTGATAGGTGTGTGGGTTGTCTTTCATTTTGACACGCAGAAAAATGTTATAATAAACATAGATACTGTATGTTAAACGGATATATCCGCCATCTTTCATTTATCTTTCCATTCCCACAAGTTATACATAAATAAATGGCATATTTTGGACATAGTTCGAATCGTGATTAATCCATCCATCCATCCATCCATCTTCTCCCGCTTATCCGTGGTCGGGTCGCGGGGGTAGCAGTTCCAGCAGAGAGCCCCAAACTTTCTTTTCCCTGGCGACATCAACCAGCTCTGACTGGGGGATCCCAAGGCGCTCCCAGGCCAGCGAAGAGATATAATCCCTCCACCTGGTCCTAGGTCTACCCCTTGGTCTCTTCCCAGCTGGACGTGCCTGGAACACCTCCCTAGGGAGGCGCCCAGGTGGCATCCTAACTAGGTGCCCGAACCACCTCAACTGGCTCCTTTCGACGCGAAGGAGGAGCGGCTCAACTCCGAGTCCCTCCCTGATGACCGAACTTCTCACCTTATCCCTAAGGGAGACACCAGCCACCCTGCGGAGAAAACCCATCTCGGCCGCTTGTATCCGCGATCTCGTTCTTTCGGTCATGACCCATCCTTCATGACCATAGGTGAGGGTAGGAACGAAAATGGCCCGGTAGACAGAGAGCTTTGCCTTCTGGCTCAGCTCCCTTTTCGTCACAACGGTGCGGTAAAGCGACTGCAGTACCGCTCCCGCTGCTCCGATTCTCCGGCCCATCTCACGCTCCATTGTTCCCTCACTCGAGAACAAGACCCCGAGATACTTGAACTCCTTCACTTGAGGTAAGGACTCATTCCCTACTTGAAGTGGACAGTCCATCGGTTTCCTGCTGAGAACCATGGCCTCAGATTTGGAGGTGCTGATCCTCATCCCAGCCGCTTCACACTCGGTTGCGAACCGATCCAGTGAGTGCTGAAGGTCGCAGACCGATGAAGCCATTAGAACCACATCATCTGCAAAAAGCAGTGGTGCAATCCTTAGTCCACCGAACTGCAGACCCCCTCCCCCACGACTACGCCTCGAAATCCGATCCATGTATATTACAAACAGGATTGGTGACAAAGCGCAGCCCTGACGGAGGCCAACCCTCACCGGAAATGTGTCCGACTTACTGCCGAGGACCCGGACACAGCTCTCGCTTTGGGAGTACAGAGATTGGATGGCCCTGAGTAGAGACCCCCTCACCCCATACTCCCGCAGCACCTCCCACAGTAACTCCCTGGGAACTCGGTCATACGCCTTCTCCAAGTCTACAAAACACATGTAGACCGGATAAGCGTACTCCCAGGCCCCCTCCAGGATCCTTGCGAGAGTAAAAAGCTGATCCGTCGTTCCACGACCAGGACGGAATCCGCATTGTTCCTCCTCAATCTGAGGTTCGACAATCGGCCTGACCCTCCTTTCGAGTACCTTAGAGTAAACTTTCCCGGGGAGGCTGAGTAGTGTGATGCCTCTGTAATTGGCACACACCCTCTGATCCCCCTTTTTAAAAAGGGGAACCACCACCCCGGTCTGCCACTCCTTCGGTACTGTTTCCGACTTCCACGCAACGTTGATGAGACGTGTCAACCATGACAGTCCCTCAACACCCAGAGCCTTCAGCATTTCCGGGCGGATCTCATCCACCCCCGGGGCTTTGCCACTGTGGAGTTGTTTGACGACCTCAGTTACCTCCCCCCGGGAGATTGGTGTTGATCCCCCTTCATACTCCAGCTCTGCCTCTAACATAGAGGGCGGAGTTGTCGGGTTCAGGAGTTCCTCAAAGTGTTCCTTCCAACGCCCTAACACTCCATCAGTTGAGGTCAACAACGTCCCATCCTTACTGTACACAGCTTGGATGGTTCCCTGCTTCCCCCTCCTGACGTGTCGGACAGTTTTCCAGAACAACTTTGGTGCCGCCCGAAAGTCCTTCTCCATGTCTTCTCCGAACTTCTCCCACACCTGCTGCTTTGCCTCGGCCACGGATGAGGCTGCTGCCCTTTGGGCCTGTCGGTACCTTGCAACTGCCTCGGGAGTCCCCCGGGATAACAAATCCCTGAAGGCCTCCTTCTTCAGTCGGACGGCTTCCCTGACCACCGGTGTCCACCAGGAGGTTCGAGGGTTACCGCCCCTTGAGGCACCTAGGACCTTGAGACCACAGCTCCCCGCCGCGGCTTCGGCAATAGAGGCTTTGAACACCGACCACTCTGGTTCAATGTCCCCAACCTCCACAGGAATGCCCGAAAAGCTCCGCCGGAGGTGTGAGTTGAAGGCCTCCTGAACTTGGGCCTCCTCCAGACGTTCCCAGTTCACCCGAACTACACGTTTGGGCTTACCAGGTCTATCCAGAGGCTTCCCCCGCCACTCGACCCAACTCACCACCAGATGGTGATCAGTTGACAACTCCGCCCCTCTCTTTACCCGAGTGTCCAAAACATACGGCCTCAGGTCCGATGATACGATAACGAAATCGATCATGGACCTTCTGCCTAGGGTGCTCTGGTACCACGTACACTTATGAGCATCCTTATGTTCGAACATGGTGTTTGTTATGGCCAATCCATGACTAGCACAGAAGTCCAGTAACAAACCACCACTCCGGTTCAGATCAGGGGGGCCGTTCCTCCCAATCACGCCCCTCCAAGTGTCTCCATCATTGCCCACATGTGCGTTGAAGTCTCCCAGCAAGATTAAAGAGTCCCCTTCAGGAGCCCCATACAGGACTCTTTCCAGGGTCTCCAAGAAGGCTGTATACTCTGAACTGCTGTTGGGTGCATAAGCACACACAACAGTCAGAGTTTTCCCCCCCATAACCCGCAGGCGTAGGGAGGCGACCCTCTCGTCCACTGGGGTAAACTCCAACAACGAAGCACCTAACCGGGGACTTGTGAGTATCCCCACACCCGCCCGGCGCCTCACACCTTGAGCAACTCCGGAGAAGAATAGAGTCCAACCCCTATCCAGAAGTAAGGTTCCAGAGCCGACGCTGTGCGTAGAGGTGAGCCCAACCAGATCCAACTGGTAACGCTCCACCTCCCGCACAAGCTCCGGCTCCTTCCCCCCCAGAGAGGTGACGTTCCACGTCCCCAAAGCCAGCTTCTGTCGCCCGGGTCTGGTCCGTCGAGACCCTCCGCTTTCACTGCCACCCTTCTGGCAGCGCACCCGACCCCATCGATGTTTCCCGTAGGTGGTGGGCCCGCGGGACGGAGAAGCAGAGGTGTTGCCCACGTTGCCTTTTCGGGCTGGGCCCAGCCGGGCTCCGTGGCAAGCCCGGCCACCAGATGCTCGCCGACGAGTCCTCCTTCTGGGCCTGGCTCCAGAAGGGGACCCCGGGCTTCCCTCCGGGCCGGGTATCCTCACTTCTTGTGTCGTCTTTCATGAGGTATTTTGAACCAATCTTAGTCTGGCCCCTTGCCTGAGACCAATTTGCCATGGGAGACCCTACCAGGAACACAAGGTTCCAGACAACACAGCCCCCAGGTTCATCAGGGCACACAAACCTCTCTACCACGGTAAGGTGCTGGTTCTTCAGAGAGGTTCGTGATTAATCATGATTAATTAATTTTTAAACTGTGATTAATCTGATTAAAATGTTTAATCGTTTGACAGCCCTAATATAAACCTTAAACCTTACACACACAAACGCACGCACGCGCACACACACACACACACACACACACACACACACACACACACACACACACACACACACACACACACACACACACACACACACACACACACACACACACACACACACACACACACACACACACACACACACAGGGTGAGAACATGGAAACAGAACACAACAGTTTTTACAGTTTTCAACAAGGTTCAAATTCAACTGCAACAATTTAGTTAGGTGCTCTGCAGGGTTGAAGTAATGTGTGTTTGTATACTGATTATGACTACAGACATATTTGTGATGCGCCATAAAGAAATCTAATGCTTCCCTCGTACCGTTGTAATCAATCGACAGTCATTGGGAATGTCATTTTTAGGAGACGCATAAAGAACTACAGCTGTCAATGTTTAAGATCTTCAACAATCTGTAAACCTTATCGCGTTAGAAATGAACCTGTAGTTCCAGTAAAACGTGGAGAAATCGGCACAAGAGACATGCATTGAATTGAGACCACTGGACATTAAGCGACTTCACGCCTAAATGGCATCCTTGTTTTGTTTGATTGATTGATGTTTTACTTGTGAGCGTATTGACTGGTCTACAACACATTCATTTTCCTTTCTCTACTACCACTTTCCCCAAAGGAATGATTCAAGTTTTCCGACTTCTTACCGTTGATGACCGGGGTGAAGACGGCAATGCCGGCAAAGTTTGGGTGGGTGACGGTCTTGTCGAGGATCAACCCTCCAACACTGAAAGATACACAGGAGGGATTAACTGAGGGCTCAAAGTCAGAGATGGCAAAAGTACACACATCCTTTACTCAAGTAGAAGTACAGATATTCTTGTTTAAAAATACTCTGGTAAAAGTAAAGAAGTATGGGCTTCGAAATGTACTTAAGTAAAAAGTACCAATAACTGTGTGTCCTTTGGCAAGACACTTCCCCCTGATTTGCTGTAATCACTGTTATATGTCTGATATGTGTAATATGAACTGTAAAGCGCTTTGAGCATTCGGAATACAGATTCAAACTAAAGTACCCAGCCTGTTTGGAAAATGTAAGAAGTAGAAAGTAAAAAGTCGTCAGAAAAATAAGTAGTGGAGTAAAGTACTGATACCAGAAACATGTACTTAAGTACAGTGTTGGAGCTATATATATATATCTTTATATTATTTAATAGTTTAACATTTATTTTCTTGCTGTTTATAGTGTTTATTATTATCATTTATTTATATGTATTCTTAGTTAGCGTCATAAGTTAAAGTAGTTTCTATGCTTTTATTTTGAAGGCATATTTGGGCACTGGGTGATTAGAGCACCTGGTGTAATTGTATATATTGGAGACAGGTGGGTGGTGGGAGCCAGAGCACTAGTAGGCAAACGGTTTTTTACCAGGGTGTTACAAGCCACACAAGGGAAAGCCATAGGAACGGCTTAAGGAAAGAGATCTAGGAAACCTGTTCATTGTTCTTTATTATTGGAATAAAATGCACAAATGGAGGTTCTTGTCTGGACTTGGATGAGCCATGCCCTGCGTAAGATCCGCTAACTAGTGCCTCGGCGGCTGTTTTAGTTCTATAGGATTTTGGCCGCTACATACAGTAACAAAGTATTTGTACTCCACTACTTCCAACTTCTGCTCATAGTGAATGAAATACATAAAAGGTCCCACAGTTAAGAATGTGGGTCGTGCAATAGGCTGTAAATAATGATGAGAACATATAGACTTAACCTAATAAATAATGCCAATAGATGATACAAATACAGCATTAGGAAAAGCGCTATCCTATTATACTGTTTTTCATCAATATATTACAGGTCTCAAATATATACAAAACATGTCTCTGAAGTGTTTGGCTCCAAATACCAAACAGATCATTGCAGCATTACCCATAATCCCCTCTGTTTCAAAAGTGCTGATTCTCTGTCTGTTACTTTAGATGAAAATAAGGAGCCCCTCCCCACGCCCCTCTGAGAGACATTTGGTTACAAAGAACTCAATGGTGCTCTAGGAGGAGATTCAGGTGATAAGGGGGGGGGGGGTACCTTGGTTGCTGATTGGCTAATGGTTACACAAGACAAAACATCGTTATGACATCACAAAGTGGCCAAAATCTGATCAGCTCATTTTCAGACAGGTTTTTATAGAAATGGATCAAAAAGAGAGAGAATCTTTATTCCTGAAACTTTCAGAGTCTCTTTCCACAGAGGAGACACATGTTGATGTAGAAGAGACATGAAGAAGAGGGGACACATGTTGATGTAGAAGAGACATGAAGAAGAGGGGACACATGTTGATGTAGAAGAGACATGAAGAAGAGGGGACACATGTTGATGTAGAAGAGACATGAAGAAGAGGGGACACATGTTGATGGAGAAGAGACATGGAGAAGAGGGGACACATGTTGATGTAGAAGAGACATGAAGAAGAGGGGACACATGTTGATGTAGAAGAGACCTGAAGAAGAGGGGACACATGTTGATGTAAGAAGAGACATGAAGAAGAGGGGGACACATGTTGATGTAGAAGAGACATGAGAAGAGGGACACATGTTGATGTAGAAGAGACATGAAGAAGAGGGGACACATGTTTGATGTAGAAGAGACAATGAAGAAGAGGGAGGACACATGTTGATTGTAGAAGAGACAGTGAAGAAGAGGGGAACAATGTTGAGGTAGAAGAGACATGAAGAAGAGGGGACACATGTTGATGTAGAAGAGACGTGAAGAAGAGGGGACACATGTTGATGTAGAAGAGACAGGAAGAAGAGGGGACACATGTTGATGTAGAAGAGACATGAAGAAGAGGGGACACATGTTGATGTAGAAGAGACATGAAGAAGAGGGGACACATGTTGATGTAGAAGAGACATGAAGAAGAGGGGACACATGTTGATGTAGAAGAGACATGAAGAAGAGGGGGACACATGTTGATGTAGAAGAGACAGGAAGAAGAGGGGACACATGTTGATGTAGAAGAGACATGAAGAAGAGGGGACACATGTTGATGTAGAAGAGACATGAAGAAGAGGGGACACATGTTGATGGAGAAGAGACATGAAGAAGAGGGGACACATGTTGATATAGAAGAGACATGAAGAAGAGGGGACACATGTTGATGTAGAAGAGACAGGAAGAAGAGGGGACACATGTTGATGTAGAAGAGACATGAAGAAGAGGGGACACATGTTGATGTAGAAGAGACATGAAGAAGAGGGGACACATGTTGATGTAGAAGAGACATGAAGAAGAGGGGACACAAGTTGATGTAGAAGAGACATGAAGAAGAGGGGACACATGTTGATATAGAAAAGACATGAAGAAGAGGGGACACATGTTGATGTAGAAGAGACATGAAGAAGAGGGGACACATGTTGATGTAGAAGAGACATGAAGAAGAGGGGACACAAGTTGATGTAGAAGAGACATGAAGAAGAGGGGACACAAGTTGATGTAGAAGAAGAATGAAGAAGAGGGGACACATGTTGATATAGAAGAGACATGAAGAAGGAGGGGACACATGTTGATGTAGAAGAGACATGAAGAAGAGGGGACACATGTTGATGTAGAAGAGACATGAGAAGAGGGGACACATGTTGATGTAAAGAGACATGAAGAAGAGGGGACACATGTTGATGTAGAAGAGACATGAAGAAGAGGGGGACACATGTTGATGTAGAAGAGACGTGAAGAAGAGGGGACACATGTTGATGTAGAAGAGACATGAGAAGAGGGACACATGTTGATGTAGAAGAGACATGAAGAAGAGGGGACACATGTTGATGTAGAAGAGACATGAAGAAGAGGGGACACATGTTGATGTAGAAGAGACATGAAGAAGAGGGGACACATGTTGATGTAAAAAAGACATGAAGAAGTGGATTTTGCATAATAGGTGACCTTTAAATGAATTGTCAATTGCGATGTTTTGACACCAACATCATTGATTTGGATAATTACTGTTAAATATGGCGATACGCTTGGGAATAGGTTTTTAAAAACAAAACAAAAACCTACCTGCTGATGGCCATGGCGATGATGACGGGCTCCCAGCCGGAGTACAGCAGCTCTCTGGTGGACGGGATCCTCCGAGCGATCAGCACCCAGAGAGGGCACAGAGCCACGAACACAGCACACACCAGAGGGTTGGCGTAGTTGTTATCTGAGAGGAGGAGGAGGAGGAGGAGGAGTATTAGCAGTATTTACATAGAATGGAATAAAATGGAATAAAATATGGAATACAATTCGGCAGTAATAAAAAAATAAAACAGATATAATAATAGTAATAATCTATTTGATTTAAAAGTGCACTTTTCATTCAAGTAAACAAAACTCAAAGTGCTACAGAGTAAAAAGGGTGAAACAAAACAACAAAAACAATTAAAACAACAGAATAAAAGCAGTGACATTTATGCCGGCATGGCAAAATGTGGGGGTTTTAAAAATCTAGTAAAAGGCTATTCTAAAAAGATGCGTTTTTTGGTCTTTTTTAAAAGCATTCACAGTCTGTGGCTCGGTCTCCCATGGTTTTCAGTTTGGTCCTGGGGGGAAGGAGGAGGTTTGCCTTTTCTGATCGTAGGTTCCTCGTGGAGGTTTGTGGGGCGAGATATTGTTGTACATTGTGTGCATTAATGTAATGCACACTGTAGAGTCTATGATGTAAAGTTTCACTGTCACGGCCCGTCTACACAGTGGCGTTAAAATAATCTTCCAACGCTTCCAACGCTTCTCTGCCCATTGACTTTGAATGGGGTGACGTCACTTTGCCTCCCTTTTCGCCGAACTGCATTGTGGGGAAGCAAAGCGAAGATTTCCAAGATTTCCAGGATTTTCAGGATTCAAAAGTTGAGCAATGTTCAACTTTTGAAGCTGAGGTGGAAGCGTCAGCCAATCAAATCCCGTTTATGCAAATCTGACAGTATAAGCCAGACCGCAGTTCATTTCCTCATATTCCAAACGAGAAATTACGGTAGCAAATCACCCGGTTCTTTACGACCAGAACTATTTACCGGGATACAAACCGGAGGAACCAGGCATGGAGGGAGGTGGCAGAGACAGTGGGTGAAACTGGTAGGGTTTGGCCTGTTTGGGGAGTTTATATATATATATATATATATTGCTCGCATAAAATCCCCGGGGTTTTTTGCTTTGTATGTCGGGTGCGGGAGATTCAAAACGTTGTCACCATCAGTGACTGCAGCTCCCCTCCCGCCCCAGTCAACCAAGGTGTACCTCAAGGCTCTGTGCTTGGACCCCTCCTATTCAATATCTACATGCTCCCACTTGGTCAAATCATCCGCCAACATGGTCTCAGCTTTCACTCTTATGCTGATGACACACAGCTCTATCTCTCCACCAAACCGTCCACTCAGCTCCCCCCTCAATCCCTTGTCAACTGCCTACAGGACATAAACAACTGGATGTCATCAAACCTGCTCAAAATCAACAGCAATAAAACAGAGCTCATGATTGTGGCTCCCAAGGCGCAGCTCCAGAAGGTTGGAGACCTGCTTCTCTCCATTGACGGCTGCCCCATCTCCCCGTCCACTGAAGTCTGCAACCTGGGAGTCATCCTGGACACCACCCTCTCTTTCCAGGCGCACGTCATTTCTGTCACCAAATCCGCCTTCTACCACCTAAAAAACATTGCCAGAATCCGGCCTTCTCTCTCTGACTCTGTGGCAGAAACCCTTGTACACGCCTTCATTACATCCCGTCTGGACTATTGCAATGGAGTCCTGTCCGGGGATCCCAGCAAAACCCTGGATAGGCTCCAATACGTCCAGAACTCTGCCGCCAGGCTTCTCACCCAAACCAAGCCATGGCACCATATCACCCCCACCCTCATCCACCTACATTGGCTGCCGGTCAAGTCCCGGATTCAATACAAAACACTCATCCTCACGTACAAGTCCCTCCATTCCCTCGCCCCCCAGTACTTATCGGACCTCCTCCATCCCTACACCCCTTCTCTGAGTCTGCGGTCCTCAGACACGGGCCTACTCTCCATCCCCCGCTCTCGCCTCCGAACTGTTGGTGACAGGGCATTCAGTGTTGCGGCCCCCACCCTCTGGAATGCACTTCCTGCCGAGATCCGTAATGATGCCTCCCTGGACATCTTCAAATCATCACTAAAAACACACCTGTTCACCCTGGCCTTCGGGCCCTAGCCCTTTTCTGGTCCCCTGGCTTCCTTTATTTATTTATTTGGTTTGCCCTTTGATTTTCTGTTTGTTTTGTTTGTACAGCGACCTTGGGTCCCTTGAAAGGCGCTATATAAATATCATTTATTATTATTATTATTATTATTCATGTGATTGGTTGTTGGTCGCGTTGCTCTCAAAAAATCCCCAAGCTTTCAGACACGCCCACCTCCAAGATTTTCAAGATTTTTCCAAAGCCGCTGTGTGGACAGGCCGTGACTGTTGGAGGAGCCTGTGACCTAAGATGTTCATAGACATATCTACACTGTAGCTGTGTACAAATGACAATAAAAGCCTTGAATCTAATCTGTGGGTCGTTTCTTTAGAACACAGAGAACCTCTCTCCCGATAGGCTTCTTTTATCCTCACAACAATTGCTTTTATACATAGCTTTGGATATACCATCCTCTTTTGATCCGATCTTTCCCCCTAACCGAGACATTTAGGACAACATTTAAGAGGTTTTCTTTTCAACTGGTTTAGTGGATAGTAGGAGTATTTTAAGTGTTTTAATTAATTACACTTTTGACTCTGTGTTTGTTCCCAATAAATGATTTTGATGCTTCTGTTTTTTTTCTTCACTTTTTCTTCACTTTCTCTGCTGTTACAAGCGAACGTCCACGTGTGCGAAGTTCTTCATTTTATTTTATTTTATAAGAAAGTGGTTTTTACAGTTTTTGAAAGAGTGCTTCAAATTGCATGCTATCCATTTTTTTATGGAATATTGAATCACCAAGTAATGCTTCAAACCTTTCGGAAATTCAACAAAAATTGACTTTTAACATTTAGGACTTAAGCAGGACTGTATGTGTGGGGACAGTAATTCCCTGTGTTGTCTCCAGGGGGCAGTGTTACACCTGAATAAACAGTACCATTTAAAGGGAGTACATTTGCAGAGCTATAAATAAAATGTGGATTTCCCGTGATAAAACACAGCGAGGTGATGTGTGGGCGGGTTCTGTTTTTATTTCCTGCGCGCCGCTTGACGCTCAGTCGCATTTCTACACATGCTGCTCCCTTTCATCAAAACATCTTCAAAGGCAAGAGGAGTTTCTATTTGTATCACATTTTCCTCTATCGTTATTATAATTCACTGGATATGATTCCTCTCTCTATTGTTGTGATACAACAACTGGTTTTTTTCTTTCTCCTGCCATGAGGAAACAAATTAATCTGACGTCCGAACAAAGCTGTAACGACAACAGTACTTCAGTACGCGTGTGCTTTGACTAAATTACATACAAGTTTTTACATTCCATCTCCTCCATAAAAGTGTTTCCGACACTGTTTTAAAATTAAACGATGTTTATTATGCAGAAGGTTTTAAGCGAATCACTTTTTTATATTTCCAAAATTGCATGTTTGATGGTTAAAGTGGCTAGTTATTAAATTAAAGAGGCCCTATTGTGCTTTTTGTAAGTTTTCCCTTTCCTGTTATATAGGTTTTAGTGCATGTCAATGGTCTGCAAAGGCTAAAATCCCTGTGTGAGTTTCTCTCCCACTGCCTGAAACGCCTCCATTGGATTCCTTTGTTTGCTTCCTAGTGACATCCCTATGTAACACTAGCACTATGTAACACTAGCACTATGTAACACTAGCACTTCTATTGGCTAGCGCTCCAACACATTGTTCGTGATAGGCTAAGGGGCGGGACATCTCAAAGCGGTTGACCAGCCGGCCAGCTGACCAATCAGAGCAGACTGGGCTCTGGTTTCAGACAGAGGGTGAAAAGAGGTGTTGCAGCACAGACAGTATGAGAGAAATAAAGAGCTTTTTGAACATTAAAGCATGGAGACATGTAGAGACACTACATACTGATATACACCTGAACATCAGCAGGAGAGAACTCTTTAAAGTAGAGACACTACATACTGATATACACCTGAACATCAGCAGGAGAGGACTCTTTAAAGTAGAGACACTACATACTGATATACACCTGAACATCAGCAGGAGAGGACTCTTTAAAGTAGAGACACTACATACTGATATACACCTGAACATCAGCAGGAGAGGACTCTTTAAAGTAGAGACACTACATACTGATATACACCTGAACATCAGCAGGAGATGACTCTTTAAAGTAGAGACACTACATACTGATATACAACTGAACATCAGCAGGAGAGGACTCTTTAAAGTAGAGACACTACATACTGATATACACCTGAACATCAGCAGGAGAGGACTCTTTAAAGTAGAGACACTACATACTGATATACACCTGAACATCAGCAGGAGAGGACTCTTTAAAGTAGAGACACTACATACTGATATACACCTGAACACCAGCAGGAGAGGACTCTTTAAAGTAGAGACACTACATACTGATATACACCTGAACATCAGCAGGAGCGAACTCTTTAAAGTAGAGACACTACATACTGATATACACCTGAACATCAGCAGGAGAGGATTCTTTAAAGTAGAGACACTACATACTGATATACACCTGAACATCAGCAGGAGAGGACTCTTTAAAGTAGAGACACTACATACTGATATACACCTGAACATCAGCAGGAGAGGACTCTTTAAAGTAGAGACACTACATACTGATATACACCTGAACATCAGCAGGAGAGGACTCTTTAAAGTAGAGACACTACATACTGATATACACCTGAACATCAGCAGGAGAGGACTCTTTAAAGTAGAGACACTACATACTGATATTTAGCAGAATATGTCCCCTTTAATTAAAGGATCTGCGTTCTCTGCCTTCAGAACATCTTGCCCTTGTTGTTGTACTTCGCCGTCGTACATGTTTTTGACAGAGGGTGAATACGAAATGTTTCCCATGTATTATAAAACCCGTGAGTGTGTGTGTGTGTGTGTGTGTGCGTGCGTGCGTGCGTGCGTGCGTGTGTACCTAGCTCCTTGTACAGTCCCGTGGAGATGCCTGCCAGCAGCGACAGAGTGATCAGATCTCCCAGCGACGCAGCGATGGGCGTGGCCACGTTGTCGGGGTTTATGCCGACCTTCCTGGCCGCGATGATCACACCTATCATGATGAGCCCTGTGGGATTATGGGTCAGAAATTACACAACACGGAAGACACCTGAGAGACTGTCACACATGTCAGTATTTCATAGTCTATGTAAGTAAGTAAGTATGTAAGTAAAATGTATTTATAAAGCGCTTTTCCCAGGCTTAGTCACAAAGTGCTTAACAAAGCATTAAAACATTAATACATTGTGAAAAACACAATACAAAAGCACGTGATGTTCTGAGTAACCTTCCATCACCAGGGGGCTCATTGACTTCAAACAAGTGTGGTGAGCAAAAACACAGAGGAGAACATGTTGTCTTTAAGGGCGTAACAAGAGGGGTTTTTTCCCCAGAAAAAGGATTGGGATTCTCTTGTTTTCCACGAGGAAAGTTGGCAAAAACAAAACGGTGTGGAGGTTTTAGTGTTAAAGTGAGATGACCAGGACAACAACAGGGCAGGTGACCAGAAAGGAGGCTGAAGGCTTTAAGATATTTCAAAATGAAAAGACCTGTTTAAAGTAATGTTTTGTACTTACACTCCAGGAACAGGAACATTTCAGTTTCTAATACTAATCCACTCACTTATGGCTGTCTCGAAGAAGCGAGCATCTACTCAGCTAACGGACGCCGCTAATGTTTACATCTCGCGCTGTCAATGCTGCTTGTTAATAGGAAGATGGACTCCTGCGTATTGGTGGGTGTAGTTTGGTCGAAAGAAATAGTTCCTACATGAAACTGCTCTCAACAAGGTCTCTTTTTCATCATCATCCATAGTGATTAGATGTTGATGTTCCAGAGCCACCATAAAAGCATATTAAAGTATTTTAAAGAATGTTAACATAATCATTAATGAGGCCCTATTATGCTTTTTGAGGTTTTCCCAGTCCTGTAGTATCTTATATAGGAAACACCTCCAATTGTCTCCTTTGCTTACTTCCAGATCATAGTGACATCACTATGGATCACTCACGCTTCTATTGGCTAGGGCTCCAACACATTGTACGTGATAGGCCAACGTGATGGGACGTGATGATCTATAAGCAGTTGACCAATCACAACAGAGAGAGAAAAATAAAGAGCTTTTTGAACATTAAAGCAGGTAAACATGTCCCAGTAGAGACACTAAATACAAATACGAACCTTAAAATGAGCAACATATGTCCTCTTTAAACTGTTATTGAATGTTTGCAACTGATGGACTAAAGGATTTCTTGCACTTGTTAGATTGATAAATACGGCTAAGTACCTAGAATGAGCGAGGCGATGAAGGCGGTGGCCACGCTGGAGGCACACAGCAGCACGGCGTGGTCCAGCCTGAAGTGGCCCTCTGGGATCCAGCCGAAGATCACAGCCGCGATGGAGGCTAGGAAGCCCACCACTGTGGCCTGGACCTGAACACACACACACACACACACACACACACACACACACACACACACACACACACACACACACACACACACACACACACACACACACACACACACACACACACACACACACACACACACACACACACACACACACACACCAAGGAATCAAGATTCAAGGCTGTGATTGTCATTCGTCATAGCTACCTGTACTGACTTTAACTCATTCTCTTATGGTGCAAATCAATTGATATTAAGCAACCAGTCATGCCAACATTAATCACACTGTAATCTGAGTTTTTCAAATGTAACTGTATTGTAATATTATATTTGAACTGTACTATGAATTATTTTATTGACCTGTACTCAAATCATGTTTTATAACAGTTTGTGTGATAGAGATGATGCAATGTGTGTAGTGTTTTTGATTGTTACAGGATGTACCTACCTGGACTGCAGATGGAAATTAGCTATTAGCTCAAATCTGGCATAATTCATCTCTTCTCGTTACTGAGATTAATGTATTTGTATGCATGGTCCTTGTTGAAATAAATACATAATATAACAGCTACTGTGTAGTTATGTCGATGAAAATCTTAGGTCACAGGCTCCTCCAACAGTGAACACAATAAAACAGATCAAATAGTGCAAGTACATACAAATACAGTAGAATAGAAATAGTGCAATAAGAGTCTGTATACAAGTAATTGGAATATGATATATTAGAGGGATAATTTGTAAGTTGCAAACAGGTGAATGTTAATGTTCACCAACACCAACGGGGTCTCCATTACAGCCAACATGTAAACTCCAGATGTATGTTGGGCTATCTTGTTACAGTGGAGCAGCTTTTAGAAACGGACACACTGTACGAGCTCACCCAGCACTCATACACATGCTTTTATTAATAGATATTTGATAACACCTTATTCCATCACATACAGAGAGTTTTCTATCCATGGGGAAGACGATCCCTTACACTTATACCACTATTAAAATAGACAGAATCTCCATTTGTGGAGCAGCAGAGTGACCCAGTGCACCCTGGCCCTCTTTACAGGCGGTTGTGTCAGCACCGGTTTCAAGTGTTCCAGGAATTTTGGGATCACCAAACATTACATAACCACAACTTCAAATGGCAGACCCTATAGGAGAGGTCAGAGAAGAGGCCATGTTTTGGTAGAAGTCTGTTTATGGCAGGCTTGGGAAGTAGCAGGTTACATGTAACAGGATTACGTAATTAGGATACAATAAAAACTGTATTCCCTTACAGTTACATTAAAACAGACTACTGTAACTTCTCAAACAATGGTGGATCACTAGCAGGAGACAATGTTAGTAAGACAGCTAAGAAGAGCAGATAGTGTTTGTTGTAAAGGATCAGATGTTCTCTCTTCTCTGTGAGCTGTTCTGTTCTGTAGGATAATCAATTAAGTGTGAATCTAATCTTCTACTGCCTGAATCTGCTTCATGGTTTCCACTTTCTTTGCTTCATTTGTTCTGTTTTTAATTCAGCAGGTGAACCTATAAGTTCATAAAATAGTGTGTGTGATCTTAACTGTGTGTGTTCAACTCAAACGGAACATTTTCTGTCAGCTCAGATTTTATTTCTGCTTTTCTGTGCTCATGTGTTTCACTGTTGGTGTATAGGGAATACAGCCATTTCTTTTTTTGTATCCTGATTAGGTAATTTTGCCATATTAAGCAATAATTGTACATGTTCCTGGTCCACTTTGGCCCCTTAGGGTTGGTTAGTTTGTATTATTGTAATTTCCTTTCCTCTGGATGCACTTTTGTCACAGCAACATACTAATCCATGATCTTTATCATGCACAAAAACATTTAAAAACGAATTTCTGTCCATTTGTGTCAAAAATAATCAGGATTCTCTTGATGCCCTGACCTGAACCCAGTTTATCCGGTAACACTTTACGGTAAGGGTACATGAATCATCATGAATTCATGCATGACTTAATGCATGAAAAAGAATGAATGAATTCATGTAGTACTTCATAAACTATCAGTAATGTACAGGTATTAGTAGTATCTCATGCATGACTTAATGCAGGAACAATACCTTAATCAATGCATCAACTAAGGTATCTCAATCATCATGACTTCTGAGTTATTAATGATGTGTTCTTCATATAGATCTGCAGTTAAAGTGACAGGCCAAACAACTGACCGGTCACAGCAATTCCAAGTGTTGTAATCATTCAAAGTGTTGACCCCAACCCTGTTCAGTGTGTTGACCATTAATCATATGTTAGTTATCCGTGTAAACGATGGAACAGGTCACCACTTTATTTGAAGGGGCACAAACATGATGAAGCAATGACAAAGTCATGATTAGTTAATCATAATTACAACACTTTGAATTCAATAATTGCTGTGACTGGTCAGTTGTTTGGCCTGACACTTTAACTGCAGATCTATATGAAGAAGACATCATTAATAACTCAGAAGTCATGATGATTGAGATACCTTAGTTGATGCATTGATTAAGGTATTGTTCCTGCATTAAGTCATGCATGAGATACTACTAATACCTGTACATTACTGATAGTTCATGACGTACTACATGAAGGAATTCATGCTTTTTCATAGCCTTACCGTAAACTGTGTTACCCTATTACTGAACACACCAGTAACTCCAGTGTGACTGAACACTGGCTCTGATCATACAAAAAGTGAATTGTATGTATTGTCTGGTCCGACCACACCTTCAGGATTTTAAAGGTTACAGCTGTTCATCCCTCACAGGTTACACTTAATTGTCGGGAGAGGCTTATTATCTGCTGCTGTGAGCTGTTACTGTACATAACAGAGGATATAAACAACAGATTTACCAGAATTAAAGATCTGATTTCTCTATTTTGCTTTTGATCCTAGATTGTGAAGCACTTTGTATGAAGACCACATCCATAGTGCATTAGGAATGCTTCCATAGGCAATTATAATAGTGCTTTGAGATTACACAAGTGATTTTTGATGCACTAAATATGAAGCATCCAGATCTCTCAGGTCTTCAGGGACTGGTCAGCTTTCTGTCCCCAGAGTCAGAACTAAACATGGAGAAGCAGCGTTCAGTTATTATGCTCCAAATATCTGGAACATACTCCCAGAAACCTGCAGGTCCGCTGCAACTCTGACTACTTTTAAATCCAGGCTGAAGACTTTTCTTTTTGTCGCTGCTTTCAATTGAACTATTCATATCTTAGACTGCACTGTAACTTTTATCCATGTACTTTTTCTTTTAATGTTTAATTTATTAGCTTTTCTTTTTAATGACTGATTTTAAATGCCATTTTCTTAATGTCTTTCGTTTTTTGTAAAGCACTTTGAATTGCCTTGTGTTGAAAAGTGCTATATAAATAAACTTGCCTTGCCTTACACTAAATAAACATGATGTGACTTATAATGAAAAATCGATGTCTTATGATTTGCTTTTAACTAGTTATGAAGAAAAGGTGGACTGATGATACGGTGACTTATTACATTTTCTTTCATGTATTTATTAATTGTACATGGATACCTTTTTAAAGTAACCCTCCTAACCCTGACTCATACAACCTCACACAAAGGACAAACTAACCCTTCGAACTGAATGAAATGCTTGCATGGGAATTGAATCTCAGAGCAAATTCACGGTCGAATTGAAAGGCACGTAAACTCATTATCTGACTTCTCAGATTAACCCGATTTCTCCCGGTAACATGGTTAGTTTAGGGGATGTACGAGATGCTCCATGACACATGACAAGTGTTAAAGTTACCTGGATGAGAGCCAAGTTCCCCATTATCATCTCCCACATGTTCTTGGCGTTGTCCATCTGACCAATATTAGCCTGAAAGAGAGCAGAAAAACACACAATGTCAACACATTATTATCTGTGTGTGTGTGTGTGTGTGTGTGTGTATGTGTATGTGTGTGTGTGTGTGTGTGTGTGTGTGTGTGTGTGTGTGTGTGTGTGATAGATACAGTGTGTGTGTGTGTGTGTGTGTGTGTGTGTGTGTGTGTGTGTGTGTGTGTGTGTGTGTGTGTGTGTGTGTGTGTGTGTGTGTGTGTGTGTGTGTGTGTGTGTGTGTCTGTGTGCGTGTACAGTACATGCTGTTGCCTCTTGGTCCCGACAACACAATCAGATGCCAGTTCTCTAGACAAAGACACTCTGATCTGATCCCCCACCCTGTGGCCGACTCCATTTATCTCATCTCCACTTTATGGCACTCTCACACACACACTCACACACGCACACGCACACACACACACACACACGGTCTCAAGTAGGACAGTGTGTGTCCATAGCACTGAGCCTGATGCCCATCCACAGTGAGAGACGCTGACAGAGGATCTCCTCTTCCTTCCTCTCCTCTCACATTTACATATGCAGAGGGAAACATCTGGTGGCAGGAAAACACATACAGATGTGCAGGGAGAAGGTCATTTCCTCATATTCCAAAAAATGGAGGGAAAATTCATTATAGCAGTAGTGCTGTATGATCAGTCTCTGTTCATCTACCGGGATACAAACCGGAGGAGCGAGGCATGGAGGGAGGAGGCAGAGACAGTGGGTGAAACTGGTAGGTTTTCGCCTGTTTGGGGATTTTATATCCAGTTTACTTCGTTTTAACATTGCTATTGCTTTGTATGTCGGGGCAGGAGATGCATGTTGTCGGTTGTTGGTCGCGTTGCTCGCAAAAAATCCCCAAGCTTCAGACACGCCCACTGCCAAGCGTCAACGCACGCTGCTGTGTGGACGCTCCGTAAGTGTTACGGCCCGTACACACAGCAGCTTTTGGCGATTTGTCCACCGCTTCCAGCGCGTCTCCGCCCATTGACTTTGAATGGGGATGACGTCACTTTCCCTCGCTTGTCGCCGAACTGCATTGTGGGGGGGCGAGGCGAAGATTTCCAGGATTTCCAGGATGTTCAGGATTCCAAAGTTGAACAATGTTCAACTTTTGAGGCTGAGCTGGAAGCGACAGCCAATCAGATCCGTTTATGCAAATCTGACAGTTCAAGCGCTAGCCAATCAAACCGCGTGCAAGCTGGGAGAACCAGACCCGCAGTTCATTTCTATATTCCACAAAAATGGAGGAGAACTTAGTTATTGCGGTAGCAAATCACCCGGTTCTTTATGACCAGTCCCTATTTACTTACCGGGATACAAACCGGAGGAACCAGGCATGGAGGGAGGTGGCAGAGGCAGTGGGTGAAACTGGTAGGTTTTCGCTTGTTTGGGGATTTTATATCCAGTTTACTTCGTTGCTAGTTTACTTCGTTGCTAGCAAGCATAGACAGTATCATTAGCCAGCATGGAATGTAGCATAAAATAGCACCATAAACATTAATCTCATAAATGTTCAAAATGTTAAAAAAATAAATGTTCATCATAGCCCTTCCTATTTGACAATAGTGTAGAAGAACCGGGTTTTTTTTGCTTTGTATGTCGGGGGCGGGATATTCATGTGATATTCATGTGATTGGTTGTTGGTCGCGAAATCCCCAAGCTGTCAGACACGCCCAGCTCCAGGATTTTCAAGATTTGGTCAAAGCTGCTGTGTGGACACACCGTTAGACATTAGAATTGACTATTCTTGTCCGTCACATACTCTTTTGTCTGTCACATAAATGGCGCAAGTTGCGCAACTGATGTGGTATTGCGCTAAACGGAAATTATTTTGAACGGACACTTTGACCGGAGAGATTTAGATTTGCCGGTCTTCAGCATATTTTACCGGTCGTAGTCCGGTAATTACCGACTAACGGGAACTCTGATGTGGGGACTCGCCTCCCTTATGGGGACAAAATGGAGGTCCCCATAAGGGGAATCATTCATTTTAGGGTGAAGACATGGTTAGGTTTAGGTTTAGGATTAGGGTAAGGTTAAGGGTAAGGTTAAGGGTAAGGGTTAGGGTTAGGGTTAGGCATGTGTTGGTTATGGTTAAGGTTAGGATAAGTCTCCAGGAAATGCATGTAAATCAATGTAATGTCCCCGGAAGTGATGTATACATGGTATGTGTGTGTGTGTGTGTGTGTGTGTGTGTGTGTGTGTGTGTGTGTGTGTGTGTGTGTGTGTGTGTGTGTGTGTGTGTGTGTGTGCGTGTGGGGGATCATCACAGAGATGTCGCAGGGTGTATGCTGTAAAAAAGTGATTCACAGATTTTATGAAAATAAACGAGAGGCTAAAAAACACTTCCATTCAAAAGCATCACAATGTTTTTCAGTTGAATAATACAAAAAAACAATTCAACTGAAAGCTGTTGTTTACGAGGTCGGATCAAGCATGAATGGAGTGAGACTTCAAATACACAGAACGAGGGTAAATCAGGATTATGAAGTGGTGGTAATCCCTGATTATAGTGTGGAAGCATTTGCAATGGAGCTACTGCTAAACTCTAGTAATCTCCCAAATATTATTACTATCCAAATAAGTACAAAATCTAACATAATAGACACATTTTCTTTTAAAGGAACACATAAATAAACTATAAACGACTAGATTAGATGAAACATAAAAGGTAAATCATGCTTTTATGCTAAAGGAACATGACAAAGTTACAATTCACAAAAACCTATATAACACTGTACAGGAAAGGGAACACCCAACAAGCTGAATAGAGCCTCTGTAAGGCTTGAATTTAAAACGTTTAATTACTAAACATTAGGAGAATAATGTTAAAAGCCTGACTGAATACAAGATAGAATGTGGTTAAAAAGACCAAAGGAGAATAAAGGAATCAGGGTCATGTGATTTGAAGACTCTTACAGACAGCCAATGCGGGAGATTACATAATGTTTTCACTAATAAGCGCATTAGGGAATTTACAGTGGTCTTAATCTGCTCATAATTAGCGACGGCATGGAAAGAGACGAGGTCCTGCTGGGGCCGGCCAGCCAGGGCTGACAGTAATGTCTCAGGACAGAGTCACGAAGCTCGGCAAACAGGGCTGAAAACAGTTTGTAAAAATGGCTAAAAATGAAGTTGAAATCCCATTTCTTTCAAAGACAAGTTACGGAAAAAATGTAATTCAAATCTTAATAGAACGGCGGCTACTTCTTAGTTTGACTGTAAACAATGTAACTTGTACTGTTATCTGAATGCTACCACACTACTTCCTACATCTTATTTTGTTATAATCCTGCAACTTGAATGTGGACTTTTGTAATTTGTAATTGTGTATTCATGTTATTGTGGTTGCTTTTCAAAAGAAACACACACACTGCGGATTTAATATCAAAGCCAGGAAACGACAAACATTTACAATTGATTTAATCAGCTCGGAAACATTGGTGAAATCTGATTCACTTTTACTGCACTATGAATGAACATGGAAAGTTAAACAACCACCAAAAAAACACCTTTTTTTACAGGAAGTGGTAATTGTAACAGAATATACATTTTTGAAGTAACCCTCCAAACCCTGTACTTGTCATGTCCAAGAAACTTATAGTGAAAGTGTATTCTTTATGTTAGTTTTGTCATGTCCCTTTGTCCTGTGCTTTATGTTTATTCCCTTCATTAATTCTCCCTCTCATTTCAGACCTCCACGCTCCCCGCCCCCTTCTGTCTCCTGCTTCCTTGATTGTTTTCCCCGCCCTGATTGTTTCCACCTGTGTCCCCTTTACCTGTGTATATATTGTGTTAGCTCCCTCCTGTTCATTGTCAGTTCGTTGTCTCTCTATGACCTACGTTCCTGCTTACCTCACGGACTTCTCACGGATCTATGTTATTGATCACTGTTCTAGTTTTCCTCGAAAGAGTGTTTTTGTTTTCCTTGTTTTCATTACTGTGCAAATCCCAGTAAAGTCTTTATTTTGAAACACTATCCGAGTCTGAGTTTGAGTCGTGCAATTGAGTTCATGCCTCAGAGTTCACTCCTTGACAGTACTTGAGTTAAATGTCTATAAAACAAAACGTATAGCAACAGGCATGCTAATTGACATGATGACTTATCAATGACATATTATTGGTTTTAAAGGGTAAATGTGGACAATGCCAACTTGCTTATAATCATGCAACAATACGACCGGGACAACAAATATAATGTTGGTTGTATTTCTGCTACTCAATATAGTTGATACCAAAAGGATTTGGAAATTCGGTAGCACATTTTTTGTAGCTTTCAGCTATATTGATAAGCACTCTATAGAGGGAAAACATGATAAGGCATTCAAAAACTGTCCCACTAACAGAGGTGATGGGAAGTGACTTTTTACTACATTTACTCAAGGACTGTACTAAAGTACAATTTGGAGGTACTTGCACTTTACTTGAGTAGTTCCATGTTATTCTACTTTGTACTTCTACTCCACTACATGTATTTAATACCTTTAGTTACTTCACAGATGTGGATGAATGATGTGAAATATAATCAAGTGTTAAATCAGACTTTAGTTCCACCTGGAGTAAATCCACAAGTACCCTGCAGTCTACAAAGTCATTCAAACTAGCTGCACCTTTACCAGCTTTGAGAACACTTTCATGATCAATCATTATAAAACATATCATATATATTATTCTGAAATGGACCAATCTGCACAACGACTACTTTTACTGTCGCTACTTTCACTATATTTTGATGATAATACTTTTCTACTTTTACTTGAGGAACATTTTGAATGCAGGACTTTTACTTTAACAGAGTATTCCTACACTCTGGTACTTCTAGTGATGGCAAAATGAAGCTTTGAATGAAGCGTCGAACCACTTGGACAATAGACCTATCGCTAAACCACGCCCCAAATAGAATTTGTCCAATCATATCACAGCAAAAATCCCTCCTGGCAGAAAACTCGGACATCACCAGAAAAGCCGTTTGTGGGGCGCATCAAACCAAAACCAGA